GAGTGTGTGTGTGTGTGTTTGAGAGTGTGTGTGTGTGTGAGAGTGTGTTTGAGAGTGTGTGTGTGTGTGTGTACGTCTGTCTGTTTATATATGTGTTTTGTCTGAGAGTGTGTATATAATTATGAATGTTTTGTGTATGTGTGAGAGACAGTGATTCTCATTTGTGTGTGAGTGCATATATGTTGGGTGGCAACAGGACTGTTATTGGTTGTTGTGTCTCCTCACATTTCAACAGACTGCTAACATTTTACAACCAGCCTAGGTGGCATTGTGGTTATGTTACTGAACTAGTCATCTAAGCAAATGTGAATCTCTAGTCCCACCACGAGAATTTGAAATATGATTCTAAATTAATGTACACACCAGGATCAGTAAATCTAACCAGGACACTGTCAGACTTTTGCAAAGTAACCCAGTGTGTTCAGTGTTGCCCTTTTAGAGAGGGAAACCTGCTGTTCTTGCTCTATTTAACCTATATGTCCCACATTTATCGTGGTTGACACTTAGCTCTCTCTAAAGTGGCATGGCAAGCTCCTTCATTGTGCCATCGCATTCTTAAGGCGATGATAGGTAAGGAATACTGGCCTTGCCAGTGATGTTCACATTTAGAGAATGACCAAGAATTTAAAGCACAACACACACGTGAACAACTATTGGAGCAATGTAAGTCTACAAACAGTAATGGAGACCATCCCCTTGGCTTGAGGCAGCAACCTCAGAAGAGGAGGGAAGCTGAAATTTGGGGAATGCACAGCAGGGTGGAGACGTAGCTGAGAATCAACCATGTACATATTGAATCGCAGAGTAATCAGCCATTTTGATCATGTTACTGACCTAGTCATCTAAGCGAATGTGAGTCGATGGACTGAATGGTCTACTCCTGCTCCTACTTATGTTATTTTGTTCCTTTCTGTTTAAATAACTCAGTGGGTGAGGAGATATAATCCCTTCCTCATGACTCAATGAGCATTGTCTGTCTCTGATTTACAAGGACAGAAATTGCAGCATCAGCAAGCTCGAATGAATGTAAATTATATCATATTAGACCTACAGAAACCAACGATGGCACCCAGTAAATGAGGCACTTGACGTGCTATTAGCCAAAGCATAAAGCTCCATCGAAAGCTTATCTACTGTCATTAGACAAAGAATAAAGCTGTAATGTGATGGATGGTATTGAAAAGCAGGCCCAGATTATTTGGGGTAGTGGAAATTTTATGTTGATTGCATTCTGCAAATAAGATCTTGTGGTAAAAATCTTTCTTTCTTATTCTCCTCTTCAGGTCAGCCTTTCCAACGAGACCAGCTGCGTGGAAGAAATATTACGGGTTAGTGTTTCTCTTTCACACCGTAACTCACCCGTTGAGCTTGTGAGGCTAAGCAGACAAGTGTTTGAGCCAAAACAAAATGACAAAAATAAAAGCAACGCAGTCATATGTTTGCTTTAGTCAGGGCACCGAGTGGGGAGGCAGCGTAATCATCCACTGACATAAAGACAGGTCAGTAAAGTTCCCAAATTGTAACCATGTTGCAGAGGTTACATAATGCCTTACACTATTTGATTGGCACAGACTCCCAGAGAGAATTAGTTTTACATTATCGGCTGGCAGCCGTCTATTTTCATTATGGGTACTTAAGGGGAAAAGCATTCCAGCTAGCTAGAAATTTGAAGGGGATCTGTTGATGTTGATCTTCATATACAGTGTGCAATGTTTAAAATTAATGTGGCAGCTTTAATTTAGCTTTGGAAAAACAACATGCGACCATCTCACTGATGAGTGAGACTGTGATGTTGATGGTGTTTGTTAGGACTGACAGATTAATAGGAAAATAGCCCAATCCCCACAGCTTTTAACATCACAACGTTGAAGATATGAAACACATGTGAAGGTTCAGATCCTTTGCCTGAAAGAACAACACTGTTAACATTGGTGTGCTCAACATGCGGGAACTTAGAAACAGAAAGAAGTCATCGAGCCCCATAAGCTGCTTCCACCATTTCGATGATGTGGAGCTGGACTGGGGTGGACAAAGTCAGAAATCACACAATACCAGGTTATAGTCCAACAGGTTTATTTGAAAGCACAAGCTTTCAGAGTCTAGCTCCTTCATCAGGTGACCTGATGAAGGGGCTGTGCTCCAAAAGCTTTGTGATTTCAAATAAACCTATTGGACTATAACCTGGTATTGTGTGATTTCTGACATTTCAATGAAATTGTAGCTGATCACCCTTTTGTGTGTTGCAGGTTTCCCTATCATTACCCTGGAAAGGTCTGTCTTTGTAAATTTTGGACAGAGTCCCCAAGCCCTGAAGTCCCTCCGCAGCAGAAATAGTTCTTCTCGACCTACCTTCACCACATCCTTAATATCATGAAAATGTTAATCAAGTCACCCTTTAATCTTTAAGTTCCAGGAAATACAGTCCTATTTCATATAATCTGTCTTTCTAATTTAACCCTTGGAGCTTGATTATCATTCTCACAAATCTAAGATATGCTCCATCCAAGATCAGTCCAACCTGTTTGGTGAAAGCTGCCTCAGCTGTGATCTAAACAGGATCTTATATTGCTTGAGTCCTCCATTTACCCTCATGTACTCGATTCTTCCAGACGTAATGATCAGTAAAATACTCATTTTTTGATTATTCTCCATCTGGGTCAATGGGACTTAATTAAATGGTGTGCCTGAATTATGAGTCTCTATATTTCCACTGTCTAACATATCCCTCTTTAGAAAGGCTCCTGCTTTATGCTTCTTATGTCCAATGTTTGCCTTTATTGAAATCCATCTGCCACACTTTTGTCCATTCACTCAATCTATTAATATCTCTTTATCATGTTCCACTTCCATTTACTCCTTCCATCGTTATTGTATCTGCAAACTTTAATGTGTGACTGGTTATCCAGTGTTTAAATCATTGATAAATCCAATAAGCTGTTGACGCTCAGGCACATGAGACACCACTTGTGACATCCTGCCAGCGAGAATACCTGCACATTATTCCCAGTTTTTGTTTCCATAAGATGATGAAGCAGAAGTAGACCATTTAGCCCATCGAGTCTGATTGGCCATTCAATGATCTGATAATCTTCAGCTCCACTTTCCTGCCTTTTCCCCATAACCCTTGATTCCTTTGCAGATTGAAATTTTGTCTATCTCAGACTTGACTATTCTAAATGACCCATCTTCTTCAGCCCTCTGTGGTAACGAATTCTACAGATTGACAAACCTCTGAGAGACGAAATTCCTCCACATCTCTGTCCTAAATAGGTAACCCCTTACTCTGAGATGATGCTCTCAGGTCCTAGATTCTCCCAAAAGGGCAAACAATCTCTCTGTATCTATTCTGTTGGGACCCCTAAGAATATTGTATGTTTCAATAAGGTCACCTTTCAATCTTCTAAATCACAATGGATACAAACCCGACTTACTCACCCTCTCCTCAAGTCTATCATGAGCCTAGTGAATCTACTGTGGACTGCCTCCAATGCCAGTATATCTTTTCTAAGATAAAGGGACTGAAATTAGTCACTGTTTCCAATTTTGTAACCAAGTCAGTTACTTGCCTTCAGTTCCATGAACTTCAGTGTTAGTTAATAATCTCTTGTGAAGTATCAACTAATTTCTGAACATTCACTTAATTAATATCCATAGTATTCCTTCTCAAGAGCAGCTGGGGGTGGACAACAAATGTTTGATTTACCAGCAACAGTCATCGCTCATGAAAGAACTTCAAAAAAATTCACCCTTTTTAAAATTCAATCAACTTTGTCACACATGACCTACCCTTTACAAATCCGTGCTGATTCCCTGCGATCAGCTTGCAATGCATACTTTAGTGTGTTTATTAACAGAAGAAATATATTTATTAAATAATTTTAATATTAAGTAATTTATCTGAACCTGGATTCAGAATTATAGATGACAACAAAAACTTGCATTTAAACAGCACCTTTGATGTACTGGAATATCCCAAGGTGTTTCACAGGAGCAGTAACACATTTTGAGTTGCAAAAAGAGATATTAGGCAGGTCACCAAAAATTTGGTCAAAGAGATTGGTTTAAAGCTGTGGCTTAAAGGAGTAGATGGAGGCAGAGAGACACAGTGAGGGAATTGCAGAGCTGAGGGCACAGGCAACAGATTGTAGAGTCACAGTTTTGGAGTGAAAGAAGTCGCATAAGTGCAAGACTCCACATTTAGAGGAATCCTGAGCCTGAGTACGTTAAAGAGATAGAGACGACGGACTTGAAAACAAGAATTTTAACATTGAGGAATTGCTCAGCCAGGAGCCAATATAGATAAATGAAGACCAGAATGGATTGAATACAGGTTGCATTATCGAAAATAAATTGAAAACCCAAAACAAAATGTTTTCTTTTTGATATTTCACAATTGGACAGCAATTGAAGATCAATCTTGATTATAATAATAGCTACATTTATCCATCAATTCAAGATAGTCAGTTCAGTTTGTAACATGGCTCATTGCTGACCCATTCCCTGCAAACAAAAAATGAATCTATTCAAACCTTGCGCCTATGCTGATCAGCTCAATAGTTTGGGTTGCAGATAGTTCCTCATTTTCTCCATGGTATACCTTGGTCGATCAGTGTTGACAAGCCACACTCATTTTCCAGCATAAATTGTGATACTTGAAATGTGGCATTTTTGTGTTTGCCCTTTTGAGTGTGTAAGACAAAAAGCTAAGGAATGTGTCTCTCTTCAGTCATCAACAACTTGAATAGACTTATGAAATAGATAAGTAGACCCTGTCGAGAATTGTATTTATCATTGCATTGTTAAATATCTAATCTCAATCTCAGTATATGTTTGTCATTGTTACAGAGCAACCTATAATCCAGGGAAGCCTTAGGTCAGGTATTATAATTTAACAATTGGCAAGTAGGCAGGAAACAAAGGAAAAGGAAAACAACAATACAATTTTGAAAAAGCCAAGAAGGAAAAAGCCAAGAAGGAAACATAAAGAATCTTTTTAATCTTTATATCCAAAATGTTCAATCAATGTGGAGTAATAATTAAATAAGTAAACAGTAATTCTAAACGAATGAGAGGTGAAGAGTTTTTTTTCATGTCAGTTATGGTCTGGAATGTGTTGCCGAAGAGACTGGTAGAAGCAACTTCATACACAGTTTTTAAGAGGATGTTGGTTACATACTTAAAATCATCCAATTTTACAGCACAAGAGAAGGTCATCCAACCAATTGTGTCTGTACCGGCTCCCAAAAGAACTACCCAGCTAGTCCCATTCTCCAGCCCTATCTCCATAGCCCTCTAACTTAATCATTTTCAAATATATATCCAGCTTTGTTCTGAAACCTCTGATGGAATCTGCTTCCACCACTCTCTTCAGCAGTGCATTCCAAATCTTAACAACTCTCTGAGTAAAGAAGTTTTTCCTCATCTCATTCCTAGCTGTCTTGTTAACAGTCTTGAAATTGTGACCCCTTGTTACTGACATGCTAACTAGTGGTAACAGAATTTCCTTTCTTACCCTGTCAAAATTGTTTATTATTTTGAACACCTCAATAAGGTTGCCACTAAATTTTCTCTGCTCCAAGAAGAATAAAGCTAATTTCTTTAATCTTTACTTGTATCTAAAACCCCTCATTCCTGGTATCGTTCGAGTAAACTTCCTTTACTGTCTCTCCAGGGCTTGAACATCCTTCCTCAAATATGGTGCCCAAACTGAAGCCAATACACCAAATGTGGTCTTACCCATGATTAGTAGAGGTGTAGCATCACTTGCTTGTTTTTGTATTCTATATTTTTATTTATAAATCCAAGAATCCAATAAACCTTCGTAACAACTGTATCAATTTGCCTGGCCACCTTCAGAGACTCATCCGCATGGACCCTGAGGTCCCTCTGCTCCTGTACTTCACTCAAAGTTGTACCATTGAGCCCTTATTGTCTGTCCATGTTACTTCAACTAAAATGCATAATCTCACAATTTTCTGCATTGAAATTCATCTGCTAGGAGTTGGCCATTCAGCCCTTCGAGCCTGCTCTGACATTCAAGATGATCATGGCTGCTCATCCAATTCAATTCCCTGTTTCCGCTTTCTCCCTACACCCTTTGATCCCTCAAACTTTTTAACTATATCCAACTCCTTCTCAAAAACATTCAATGTTTTGACCTCAACAGTTTTCTGTGGCAGAGAATTCCTCAGGCTCACCATGCTCTGGGCGAAGAATTTTCTCCTCATCTCAATCTTACATAGCCTGTCTCATTACCCTTAGACTGTGACCCCTGGTTGTAAACTGCCCGGTCATCAAGAACATCCTGCATTGCTCTCTCAGGTTCGATTAGAATTTTATAGGTTTCTATAAGCTTTGTCCCCAATCGGGTCATACTTCTAAACAGACCCAACTCCTGAACCCTAGCTGTTCAGCCAAAATGCCACTGCTGGATTCTCCCACCTCGGAAGAAGGCATTGTGAATCACCATCTCACTCAGAAATATCAGATTAGTATTAGTTCCAATCAAATTAACAGATAAGATCAACTGTTTCATGGTAGATGAAGGACAGATATCAGGACAGTCTCCGTTATTCACAGCAACTAATCAAAGTGCTAGATAGACTTCTAGATAATGGAGCTCGTACCATGGATTATAGAGTCATACAGCACAGAAACAGACCCTTCGGTCCAACCAGTCCTTGCTGACCAAAATCCAAAAATGAACTAGCCCCACCTGTCTACGCTTGGCTCATATCCCTCCAGACATTTCTTATTCATCAACTTATCTTAATGTCTTTTAAACGTTGTATCCACTGTAAGTGAAAAAAAAAATGCCTCGCATGTTTTTTTTAACTCTTTCATCTCTCAGCTTAAAAATATGTCTCCAGTCTTGAAATCCCCTATCCTGGGGAAAAGACACCTGCCATTCCCCTTATCTATACCCCTCATGATATTATAGAACAAAGAACAAAGAAAATTACAGCACAGGAACAGGCCCTTGGGCCCTCCAAGCCTGTGCCGATCCAGATCCTCTATCTAAACCTGTTGCCTATTTTCCAAGGATCTGTATCCCTCTGCTCCCTGCCCATTCATGTATCTGTCTAGATACATCTTAAATGACCCTATCGTGCCCGCCTCTATCACCTCCGCTGTCAACGCGTTCCAGGCACCCACCACCCTCTGCGTAAAGTACTTTCCATGCATATCTCCCTTAAACTTTTCCCCTCTCACCTTGAAATCATGACCCCTAGTAATTGAGTCCCCCACTCTGGAAAAAAGCTTCTTGCTATCCATCCTGTCTATACTTCTCATGATTTTATAGACCTCAATCAGGTCCCCCCTCAACCTCCGTCTTTCTAATGTAAATAATCCTAATCTACCCAACCTCTCTTCATAGCTAGCGCCCTCCATACCAGGCAACATCCTGGTGAACCTCCTCTGCACCCTCTCCAAAGCATCCACATCCTTTTGGTAATGTGGCGACCAGAACTGTACACAGTATTCCAAATGTGGTCGAACCAAAGTCCTATACAACTGTAACGTGACCTGCCAACTCTTGTACTCAATACCCCGTCTGATGAATGAAAACATGCCGTATGCCTTTTTGACCACTCTATCCACCTGCGTTGCCACCTTCAGGGTACAATGGACCTGAACACCCATATCTCCCTGTGCATCAATTTTCCCCAGGGCTTTTCCATTTACCATATAGTTCGCTCAACGAACTATAAACCTCTATAAGGTCACTTCTCAACGTCCTGCGCTCCAGTGAAAAAAGGCCTAGCCTATCCAGCCTCTCCTTAAAACTGAAACCCTCCAGTCCTGGCAATATCCTGGTAAATCTCTTCTAAACCTTCTTTGAGAGAATTGGGTGCTAAATGAGAGAATTTTAGAATCTCTCCGGATGGATAATTTTTGATGGGGTGAACAGTACTTTTTCTTTCACACCTATTCATGGGTGTAGTCCTTGCTGGCCTGGCCAGCATTTATTGCCCTCGGAAAAGTAGTGATGAGCCATCTTGAACTCCAGCAGTCCATGTGACGTAGGTTCACCCGTAGGGCCATCAGTCAGGGTTTAGTTTAATGGCCCAGGATTTCAGCTTTAACTTGTATCCTGAGTTTTTTTTTGGAAGGTACAGAGTGCAAAACCAAAATTTATGCATCTCTTTTTGGCTGCACATCACACAGAAAAATCAGAGATTATTATCTTGGAGTGAAGCGCCAATCACAGCGCACAGTAATGTGCCTATGAATATGAGTCATGTTCACAGCTTATAAAGACACAGTATGTGCATGTTCCATGAGTGATTTGCAATCTTTTGACTGAGTTTGGAACCTCTCATGTCACGAAGGAATAGGGCAAATTAAAATCAACAGGAAATTGAATGGAAGCAGGGACAGGCTGTTTTAGATGGCAATCAACAGAAACACAGGCACTTTGCGAAGGGTCCTCACTGCTAAACACTGCCAATTGTTCTCTGCAATGTCATTTTCTCTCAAAAGCATTCCCTGCTCCTGGTTTTCACACCTATCATCATTTTTTTTTGTGATTCATTGCATTTTCTTTGACAAGAAATATCTTGAAGCAGTCTTGCGGTGCCGTGTCAATCCGAAATGAAATTCCAGGCAGGGAGAAAGAAAGTTGTTGCAAGTGGGAATTCAGAGACGATGGAAAATCTTCCATGATAAAAATTGCACTGCATTTTCAACATCTCCAAACAGTACGACCTTCAGCCCTTGCATTTAGGGAGACATTGTCGTCAGATAACAGACATGTTGTAGAATTTCCTAGATAACAGCATCAGTCACTTTTTCTCAACATCAGCTATGGCCTTGAAAATGAAGATGTGTTTTTCTTTCATATTTCTCCCCATTGTGATTTCTAAGGCACCAAAATGACACTGCAGATTTCAACCCTGCAAGCTCTTAAAGTTGAAATTTGAAATCTGAAATTTCACTCTCCACTCTTTAAGAGATATTACACTCATTAGGGTTAATGCTCCAATCAAAATAGCTGGGGAGGACTAACATTTTGTGCATTTAGTTGCTACCGTCTCAAAATGCAATCCTTGATTTGATGTCAATCTTTCATTCTGACAGACTATTGTTCAAATTTCCTTTGCAGCAATTGTCGGTGGAATCAAAGTTATTTTCGATTAAATAAAGTTTATTTTTAACATGATATGACTTTATAGTATATTTCCCCTCATTGGATAATTTTAAACAAGCTACAAAAATTGTTTGACTATCAAGACGATTTTTTAAAATACCTAAAATTGTGTATCCTTTCAGCCTAGGCATGCAGGTTCTGATTTTGAATTGCTTTTGGTATTTGTGTCCCTTAAGTATCTCATACCTCCCATTTTAATAGGCAGATGTATTTCTCACAAGGTAATTTGGTTACGGTGAGGCTGGAACAGAATGATCTATTATGCTTACTGAGTAGCTTACCAATGAATATCTTTAGGACTGTGCAGTTAAGGGCAGACCGGGGATCGAGTGAACAGCTGGACTATTATATTCTAGCTCTACAGAGAGAAATTATTGAGACTGGTGAGTGATGGCGCAAGGGCTGAAAAATTGGAACACAGCCATTTCAAAGGAGGACTAGTTACCTTGATTCAAATGGTCTTAAAACCAGCAGCTTAATCATACTTGGAAGGACTATCGGGAGAGACTGATCATCCTGGGGAGTCTGAAAAGCAAAGATTGGGATGTGACCAAACGGAGTGGTGCTTGATACAGTAGAAGTAGAGACCTGTAGGTAAGCAGGTGAAAGCTAAGGGTCAACAAATAGAAAATCAGCAATAATGGATCCAATACAGAATTTAGTGGAAACTCTTTAGCCAGAGAGGGTTCAGAATATGGAACTTGCCACCAAAGGAAATAGCTGAGACA